TTTTACTATAGCTGTAAAAATCAATGTAATAGATCGATATATTTATCTATAGAAGCAAGTTTTTAGACTATTTATCCTTTTATTTAATTATTTATTAATTTGGGCGTAAATTTGGCTTCTTGAGTTATTTGTAAATTGCGTTTTCCAAGGCAAAAGTATATGGAAAACTAAACTTCTGTGCTTCGTTTACGGTTGCAGAATATCTTGTTCCATATTTTATTTGCAATTTCATAGAAAACCTTAGTTTTTATTTAAACCGCTACTATATCGAATCGATAATGTCGCATGTGACATAAAAATTATAAGGGAGTCACGTGACACCCAAAACGTGGGACACAGAAAAGCATCGCATGTTTATGCTGTTCTTAGTGAATGCTAACGCTATTAAACTAACTAAATGCTCAACAACCGGTAAAAAGGCGCGATCACTTTATCGACTGGTTTTTTCACGTTACGCGAGAACGAGCAATTGTTCTTGGAAAAATACTTTCTTCCCTCGCTATTTATCCTGGTCTGTCTTTCATCATTGATAAATCGTGGTCGACCATAATATTCGATGGTGGAGAAGAACCACACGTGGGTGGACGATTCGTCGTCAGTTGATCGACGATGGTATCGATGAGAAACGCGTAACGAAAAGACAAATTGTTATCGAAATTGGAATATTCGACCTCTTGTTTCACGATTGAAAAAAAGAAGAAACTACTCTCAAAGAGAGAACTATATCATCTGAGTTATAAAACTAAACGGAATGGAAGATTTTCTGAAAGAAAATAAGGCAAATCTAGCTAAAACTTTCCTGTATAACTGCAGCCATATACCATTATTTTTTCCATCACCAAAATTTTTTACTTATTAATATAGCTAAATCATAATAATTTATTTGCTTATGGTTATTCTTATTCTCGGTTATACTTAAGTAGAAGAAGAGCAGATATATTCAGACCAAACCTTGGATGACAATGCATCCATCATTCATTGGCATAGTTTCAAATACTCGCTTCAAATGCTGGTTTTTCGGCATCCTAGACCAAATACTAATTATTTACCGCTGTTTTAATTTATTTAAAAAACCTTACCACTGTTATATTAATCGCGAAGAATGATCTCTACGTTTCTTTATTGGTTCATAGCCCCCTGAACCTGGATGTCGATCCAGGAAATATATTAAAAGTAATTTTATTACTTTCCTTGTTTACATTCTTGATGCACGTGAAAGTTAACTGCAAAATGCAACTATACAGTAAAGAATTTAGATACCGAAGAATTATTATTATCCGCGATAGAGCAATGTTAAGTTATTCAGTATGGTGAACGCTCAATATACACGCGAGTAAGGTACCGCTGCTGTGTCCTCATTGATTTTTAAATTGTTACCATATGCGGCGAAGTACATTGACAACCGCTAATTTCCCTGTCGTTGCAGATTATAATAAACTGCACCGGTTAATGAAACGTGCTACTGAAGAAGAAAATGTAAAGTATGATATAAGATGTATGTAAAAAGCGCTATTATTTCCCTCGATGTTACATTTTTCTTCTTTAACGCGATTTGTTTCCGTGGGATTGTGAAAACAGGAAGGGAACGTTTGATATTTCGAGTGAAATTTTAGTATGCATTTTCCTGGCAATAAAGATAAGGCCACTGCGAGAAAGATGTCAAGTCTCAAAGGTACGATCACGAAGATGTCAGGTCTCATCGCTCTCACAATGCAGATATTTCTCAATTTTTTAATAAAGAGCTACGTAGCTCGACAATGAAATCACTAAATAAATTAAAAAGCTATCAAAAAGTCATAGAAGATACCATCAATGTTGGATTACACGCTACAGGATTTAAAGAAAAAACATACAGAACATGAAGAATAAATATAAAATGATAAACGTGTTTTGATACGAATAAAGGATTAATCAATCAAAAAATCATCGAAAAACTAATAAATCAACGATCTCGAATTAGTCTCGTTCTGGTATGTACACGTGTGAATCACGTGGAAAAAAACATGAACAAAAGCTTCTGATAAAAATTTATCACTATGTACAGGGCGTTTTAATCATTCAATCTGCGGTCATTAATAATCGAATCGAAAATCCACCGTCAACTACGAACGAGCAGCGCTGTAAATGATAAAGTAGCTTACACTAAAATGGGTCAGCCAATCGGGTTAAAAGATTTTTCTGCTAATAAATACTTCAAAAAGGAAGTTAAACAATGTTATGGAACGTAATTATATCTGAATGTAGACATGAATTACTCTCTTTCTACAAAGGCTACTCGTGAAAAAGATTCACAAAGACGCGATGAATCCAACGAAATGATGCTAATATATATCTCACACTGGAATTATTGAAATCTAAAGACTTTGTAAATTGGACGTAATTATTTCCTGCGATTAACTCCATTGTTAATCAAAGAAACGTTCGTCCTGGAAAAATGTTCTGACAAGAAGAAAGGATGTAAGATACTAGCAAAAGGTGCAGTCATGTGAATAAGTTCCTTTAAACAAATACAACAGAGAAATAAATATAACAAATGAAATTATCTACGAGTTTACGGAGTCTACAAACTTTAGTGTATTTTTCTAGCAAATTTACGTACAACGTACATCTATCCATTCCTTATGTATGAATCAGAAACGCCAATAATTTGTTTCAAAGCTTCTATCGCTAAAAAGTGATGCAAATCTGTCGCAAATTTTCTATACACGATACTTCTTAAGCTTAATACTTTTTGAATAATAGTAATTTAACAATCTTAAGCGATTTTCTCAAAGGACTTTTGCTTTGTCAAAAGATCTTTTAGCATAGATGTAAATTTCGTTATACGCTGCTCTTTCCTCTGATAATTACTCTTTGAAAGCAACGATCCTGAATTTTTCATTGTGAATAGTAACAAACTCAAGTAACTAGGTAAAGCTACTTACAATGATTCAATGGACTTCTACAAGAGGAAATAACTTTCCAACCTGTCTTACATTCTAATGGAAAATTTTACTTTTCCTTCTATTTTCTCCAACATGTACTTGATTATTGTTTTATCTGTATATTAGTTGTATATTTACCATACAGCATATCGTCGTTTTCCAAGAAAACGAAACAATGAAATATTTCTGCAATTCGATCGTATCTCTCTCCAAATTTCAATATTGTATAAAATAATTTCTTAAACTTAAATAAAACTTTCCGTTTATATAATTAGTGTAAACATGTTTTGCGTTAATCTTCCCCTGACTAAGTAATAGAAAATTTCTAATATCGGGGTATTCTTCACTAATAATAATAATACTAATAATGATACCAATATTACACAGAATAATTTTTTATATTAATATAATTAGTTTAAAAAAGTTCTCACGCTGATCTTTCTCTGAACAAAGAATTCCTGTTACTACCTGAAAACATGCTTCATATTTCAATATCGTAGAAAATAACTTCAGTATTATAACTGATGTAAGAAACTTTCCACACCAATCTTTTCACCTGACCAATACCGTACGCTGTAACTCGCAGATTCTCAGCCCCTAAATAATATTGACTTTCAATTTACATTTCCAATAATTCAGTTCCATGTGCAGTTGTGCAGCAACCTATGCCCGCAACGTATGTCACGTACACAGCTGAACACGTGTTACGTGAACTGGTACTGTATAAAGGGTTGTAGGAGAACGGATTTGAGAGACGGCAGGAGAAACTGGAATACCGCCAACTTTCCATGTTCGATGATTTCACATTAAACTTTCAATGTACAACCGCGTCGCCGGATGTCGCGGGTAACGACAAACGAAGGTTTAGCAAAGCGATAAACGGCGCATTTTATTAAACACCCATTCTACGAGAACATTTCCATCGTTACATTATGAAGAAGACACTACGCGGAAGTTGTTCAATAAAAGCTATTCGCGTTTATAAAGAAGTAACAACTGCCTCAACTCCAGCCACAGAGAAACATTTTATGAAGAGCTCCAACAGGCGCTGTTTCCACACGGACAATCTCCTATGAACTTTTTTGTTGTGCATATTTCAATGTTTGGCGATCGAGGATTGAAGATAATGGCGAAAAAGCCTTACGAACAACCTTTTTATTCTACTGAATATTTCAAAACACGAACACCGATGAAACGATTGTTAAATGTTTACTATTTTAATTAACAGTTTGTACATCTTTTACGAAGGATAACGTAAAAATTGTTATTTTTGTCTTATTTTCATCCATAAGAGAAATATAGTTATAAGGACGTAGAAAATAGAGACATAGTACTACGAAAGAAGATATCCAGAGAAAACGACAGAACTTTCCGCAGGACCTAATACTTCACGGTTTGTCTGATCTAGACAGAGCGTTTCCCCTTGAGATCTTATATCTCCTTTCTCTCGTACACTTCAACTTGGATAAGTCAATCACATCCAGCAATGCTTTATTATAGTTTCCATTATAGTATTTGTAGTATTATAATATTACATTTTCATTAAACTTTATAATAATATGAATTAAGTTACTAAGCTTTCAGAGTTACTTTATAGTACTTTCACGTTAATAAAAATCATCAGTAAAATTTGTCACGAAAAGCACAGAATACGAATAAAACGAAATAACCTAACTCAAATCTAACCTCGATTGTTATAGTCGCGTATAATTCGATAATACAAACTGAAGATTGAAAAATGAAATGGATAGATATAAATTAAAAGAAACGCCTGATACGAAGCAATCCGATATAAAAATACATTGCTCGAAACAATCAGAGGATCACATTCCCAAACAAATGCAAAGTATTAACCAATACCAAGAAAAAGCAAAATATAAATGTGACTTAGTTGTATTTGCGTTCTTACTCATTTTTGCGTGATGTTTGATTCGCATATGACACGTGTTATATCTTTGTCAAGTGGTAAAAGTATTTAAATAACTAATTCGCTAATTATATTTAGCAACGAGTTTCCGTTAAGAAAGCGTGTTATCAATAGATGGAGACAAAAAAAATTCTGATAAGGTTACTCACATGTCTCTGATGTGCCGATGTAACGTGCGTAGCACACGTAATCCTCGTCAAAACGTTGACAAAAACCTGCACACACTCGGAGCACTGATCGCAGAGCACACCAAAAACCAGTTCACTTCAGTCGAATAATCGCACGATACATCTAGAAACTACGCCCTACGATCCCATCCAGGAGATCGAGAGAATATTACAGTCACTTGGTCTCCATCGTGTCGTTTCGTCTCGTCCGCGGCAGCTTTATAACAAGTTCATCCTCTCCTTCTTTTCTCTTCACCATTCCCTCCGCCACTGTTTATCTCTGCCTACAAAACAATATTTCATGTATAGTAGTCAACATAGCAATCACATATGTTCATTATAGGTATATTAATATTATAAGCATTAAAAAGAAAGGGAAAGAAAAATAGTGAAAAGAGAGTATAATGCGCCGTCGCGACGCACACGTCTTTTTTATAGCTTCTGCAATAATTATACGCGCGAAAGAACGACCAACGCCAATGTCCTCGTCGTTTCCCGCATGTAATACAGAGAACCATAAATTTTCTCATTACAGTATTATCAAAATTTCAAAATGTTTTGTATAATACGTTCATGAAAAGTTTCTGTGAATGTTGATATACTTTCGTGAACCATTCGTACATTCGTACGAATACAAGTAAAAAAATTTGTCAACAACGATACGACAGCAACAACACGTATCACTTATCGTCTACAATAATAATACGTACGAAAACATAACAATAACATAATAATATATTTCAAAACAAAACACTTACTACACGAGTACATATCTATGCATTGAATCATTACAAGCGAACATTGGAACGAAAGATATTGGGAAAATTCATCAACAAAAATGCGACAACTGACGACAACACACGCGTCCTTCGTTTATAATATATTCGAAGATGGAGAATGTTTCCCGCGTATCAACACAAGGGACTTACTATGTAGATCGTGTCCGAACGCCACGATTCCTGTACTCGCCCCACCGCAGGTTCCTGGTCGTTAATCGCGCCGCCCATCTCCCATCACGTTAAAACGCGCACCTCGAGAACGTAAGTCCAGAGAAAAATCGCGAAACGAGAATCGTTCCGCCGCGAGGTGGCCACGAAACGAGGTTAATAGCACTCGAGATCCTTCACACAGGCTGACTCCCTCAGACACGTCGTTCCTGATCAGCTGCACTAAAATTATCTACGCGAATTCGTCAGTATTCACGCGATAAGCAGCAGAGAGTAAACGAGTGTGTAAGATGAAGGATTACGAGGCACAGGATATCCCCGTGAACGTCAATTTTCACCAACAGCAGGGACGGCACTTATAGTAACCCACTTTCCAGCGACATCGTTCTATTCCACTATGATTTACTTCAGAGATTCACGATATTCTTCGAAACATTTCTTACTTCCCGTACGATCATTCGTAACACATACAAGATGGCACAGAGGTCGAATTCCACGTCCACGAATTTTCTCGATTTTTATCACCGTCACACTTCTAGATGACCAGCTGACAGCATCGAGGATTAACAGAAAAACAGCCCTCGCCTTGCTCCATTTAACATCAACTTTTAAGAGATCATCTTCGAGGAATTATCTCTTCGTACACTGTTTACGATCGTCTCTCGATTCGAACGACAATTCGATTAACATCATGAACGATACAATTGGATGCGAAATACGAAAACAGGGAACGTGTAATGAGAATGGTGCACACATCGAATAACCTCGCGCAGCCAAAATGGTGGACGACACTCCCGTGTTCTGCTTTAACTCGGTCGCCTGCCGCGTCCTCTTCTTGCGACTAATAATCGTCGATCGTTTAAACACAGCTCTTAGATAGAACCTAGTAACACAGGATGTCAGATAGAATCACACTATCGAACAGCGAGATGGAACGATGAGATATGATCAAAGTATAGAGTGCACTGGAACCGCCTTCTGGTGCACAACACAACACAGCACCTCCGTACATGTAAAGTGGACCACCCGGCTGGCGCCTTCTCGTATCCGTTTCCGCGATTACACGTCCGCTCACGAATGTCCGTTAGTGGTTAGGAAACGAGTCGTAAGGTCCAAAAAGGGCCTTGGCCCAGTCACCTGATCGTGGCGTGGAAAAAAGCTCCACGAAAGACGGCAGCGTCGACAGGCTCCTCGCTGAGGGCATTCCAGCGCAGGCAGGGTGGACCGAAACGAACGCCGCGCCATCTGCCGACTAAGACGTTCACCCGACGACTGGCATGGCCGCGCAACCAACCCTCGCGTCAATAACAATCCAATTGAACATGACGCGTGTTTTTGTCCCACCGTTCGCATCGTGGCATACCAATGCGATCCTTTTTTCTGCTGGCTCTCATCATATCTAAAACGACAACGAACCAACAAGATCGAAATGTTTTCACCGCATCTGAAACTCCGCGTATTTTCGTGCGTTTTCGATTAACCGCGCACCAAACTGTAGGGGGCAGCTGCGCGATTTGGACTGAGCGCAACTTCGCATGGGAACCGCGACCCCACGGCGGAAATGCACGAGACCGTACGAAGCGCGGCTTCCTGAATAGTCTTGCCGAACGTCGAGACACCTGCGGGTGATATTGCGAAATTCAAACAGACTCTGCCGTCGATCGAAGGGGTGGACACTATCATATGGTCAGACAGTGACCTGTTAGTATAGAATGAAATAAATGGCATTCATTCACTATTATAGAATAAATATTAGAGTAAATAAAAATTTAATTTTCAACGAGTATTTTAATTTCCCAGCAGTTTTTCGTTTAATTGCAATTAATATCTTAGTATTTATTTAGTAACTGCGTTATTGAGTTCGGTACCCGTTATGAGAATTTACTTTTATGTGCACAATTCGATCAAGTGAGTAAATATATATGTATAGTTTATAAATAATAAATAGAGAAAGAGACCTGTTTAGCAAATCTATTACTATGCATGCATAGTCTCGTAACGTTTAAAATTCCAGTCACGCATTCCTTCTTCTTCTTCTTCTTCTTCTCTGATGGATACCGAAAATTCCTCTTCTTTAGATACCTGAAACATTCGTTTAAGATCTTTTCCTTGCTCAAAAAGAAAAATATTTTTGTTTATCATTATTGAAAAGAGAAGAATAGTAATTAGAGAACAGATATTTATAATTAAATATATGCGTTCTGTATATTTTTGAACCACAAATGCATAAAAATCCGTAATCCAATAAATGTAATGTTTCTTTAATTTATTACACGTCAGAATTTTGTTATCATTTAAATATGACATATGAAGAAAAATGTAATAAAATATTAAATCCGATGAGGCATAAAATTCTACTAATAACACATACTGGTTCTTCGATCATAGACCGGAGATAGTTTAACTCGTTATCCTTCTCCAATTGCCACTGCCTACACTCTTGACATCTTCTATAATTCAATAACCAAAATCCAAGATAAGTGACAGGGTCGCAAGGTTTTCTTGCTATAATTTCCTTAATTCCCATCTTCAGTGGCAACTTAAAATACTTTCTTAACCATTTACCATCAAAAGATAGTTCTACTTCGTCTGTTAAACTTATAGAACATAGTGTTTCACTTTCTTCTTCTAGCATTTTTTCTTCAGTATCATCTTATAATATAATGTAATCATATAATATAATTATCTCATCATAATATTAAGTGTTATCTATTTTTCCAATATTTCATGATATACTAATAGTGAAATTAATCATCGTAAATGTACCTGAACGTATGATATTTAACTTATTACAGACTTTTGTAAGAGTTTCATCAACTTTTTTATCATTATCGTCGTAATCTTTAGAAGTTTTCTTAATTTCATTATTCATTTCGTCACATCTTCCTGAGATTGTAATTAGAGGTAAACAACCTAATTGACTACGAGTTGAATGCAGTATTGTCAACATCTCTTTTGCCGTTACTCTACTGGTGACAGTATAATACACAGCTAAATTGTACTTTTTATGATAAAATGAAAATAAAATATGCTATTTCCTCCAGTGTACGTTAATATAATTAATTGTAAGGAATTAAACCACTATCTGTCCACGCTAAAATTATCCAAATTGAGTTCATTTTACCTTTTGTTCCCATGAATGTAAACTTTCTGTTCAATTTTCTTCGCAAAAAAGTTTAAAGGATCTGGAATACTTGTATCGCTTGACAGAGACTGGCCTTTTTTCATTTTGGCCGATCTTTATTCTGAAATGTATAAAATATTCTAAATATCAATCAAATAAGAAAAGATTTAATATAATTAATTATCGAATTTAATTAGGACTATGAACATTATTTACATGTATATACATTGAATTTGCAGTGAAACAAGGTTGAATCGCAATTTTCGCTTAACCAATTTAATACCAATCTCATTTAACAAATATATAAGGTGAACTTAATATAAAAGTGTTATAATTAGTTTTCTCAAGAATTACCATAAATATTCTTTTTATAAGAGAATTCTACCCATTTGATAAAGAAATTAATTAGAAGTGGAGAGACTCTTGTTACTTCCACTGTTATCTTCTCTGATTCTTAAGAATACATCTCATAACAGCTTGCATAATGTCTACAATTGATAAACTGACTTGAAACGCGCCCGTACGTCAATTTTTGCATATCAAATGATTGTAATCGTACTACAGTGTTCTCAAATTATACACTGTATCCACGACGATACCAGCTTCACACATCAGTCTTCCATGCGTCTGCAATAAATTTCGGAACAGTAGTTCTTAATGTTGTTATTAGCTATTTGTGACGTGATGTTGCGATAACGGAGCAGAACTGCCAATCACTGCTAATGAATGTTTACGTGATCTGATGTTTTTCAGAAATTTCATACCGTATTCCGATTCTAACCAGATGAGTATAATCAAAGATAAGAAAAATATAACCACAGAAATTTCCGAGATAAGAGCTTTTTCATGTGCCCACGCTGGAAAGACAAACACGTGTGGCATACATAAGAATCAAACTTTTACACACGGGGCATAAATATATCAAGGATCTTATCGGGATACAAATCTTACGATCTCGACTGGTGTCTTCCTGCTATAAGTTCCATGAATTATATGAGTCAGTTCGGATAATTTCATCCAACCTAGCAACGCAACCATTACATCCTGCACATCTCGTCTGATACCAAGAATCAAGATGTCTATTGAAAATCCAAAGAAAGATGCGGATAAAAAAATCACGATCTGGCCACAATGGCTAGCCACGTGTACACGTAAGTATTACTAAATAAATTTCTAGTCGATGCTTAAACTTGAGAAGAACCTGGCATTTAGAAAGCGAAAATCGTTGTCTGAAAGTTCACGAACGCGATGTTTGCATTAAATTTGATCAAGACGATTTAATACAATCTCTGGTGTACATCAAAATACGCCGTATACCGTACATCAAGGTGCCTATATAAGCTATGTCTATGAATGAGCTAATGAAATTACTCTCGCATCCGTTGACACAACTGTTTCATGGCCGTTTGTGACAGTCAGCTTAGCTGTTATCGGAAGTGGTCTCGCGAATGGTTGGGCATCGCCGTACTTGGCTCAACTGACATCAACGGAAGCGAACACACCTTTGAAACTGACAGATACCGAAGCGTCCTGGGTAGCCTCCCTTTTAAATCTTGGTCGCCTGGCTGGGGCTTTGCTCAGTGCACTGTGTCAAGGTAAGACCGTTTCTTCATTATCAGAAAGAAGATTCGTCTGGCCAGATCTACTAATTTATCCTCTCCAGTCACATCACAAAGACATAAATGACCTTGAAAATTGTGTCTAATATATTCTTGCGAATTTAATACTAAATACTTGTTTCATTTAGATTGTTCAGTATACCAGAAATGTCCGATAACTTTGATAAACACATATGTAGTTAGTAGTTGACCCGATCGATACTCTCTTGCAGCACACGTCCAAGTGGCCAAGCAAGGCAAACAATGGTGATCAACATTGTTAATCGAGAATTGAATAAGAACAAGGCAGCCACGACTCAGCACTCGTAGAAAAACATGATACGAAATTGTGGTACGTAAAAAAGTAAACGCAGGAGAATAATTGTAATATCGATAGAGAATCGTTGATAGAGAATCATTGAGAAATGCATTTCCGATCTTTAATCAAAGATTTAGAGGAGATGTAAAACAACTCGATTAAAAATCTCCACTATATATATGACTGAGTGATATGTGACTGAGTTGTGGTGATCTTGTTCTCAGGTAAATGTAGCTTTAACATATCACAACATCATCTTCAGAGTATATTGGACGAAAAAAGGTACTTCTGCTTGGTGGGGTACCATTGACCGCAAGCTGGATATTCAGCATTTGTGCTACATCAGTCATGTGGCTCTACATCTCTAGATTCTGCTCGGGAATCGGATCGGGAATGATGTGGGCTGCATTGTCCTTGTATCTAAGCGAAATCGCCAATCCGAAAATTCGTGGGTCACTGGTAAATTCTTATTAACTCTTATATCTTACAATACACAAGCGAAATGAATGAAAAATACTTTATGTTATCGAGACAACTGTTCATAATTTTTATCAAGGAGTATTGTCTAAACTTCTATATCGTATATCAATTAAATTAATTAAAGCGGTCTAAAGTATCTTAAAGTATCTTAAAATAACCTTCTTTTTATCTATATGAATATTTTGAATAAGATTTCTTATCCGATAAAGCTATAACTGTGGTCACGTCTTCAGATATCCATGAACGTGAATGCATCTTCCGTTGGTATGTTCTTGGGTAATGCAATGGGTCCTTATCTGTCCATGGAGATGTTCGGGTACGTGAGCCTCGTTCCGAGTATCCTCTTCATGATCCTCTTCAGTTTGATACCCGAATCACCCTATCATTACCTCCTGCACGGAAATATCGACAAGGCTGAGGCATCCTTGAAGTGGTTTAGGCGAGAATCTGACGTCAAAGCGGAGATGCGAGATCTTCAAGAATTCGTCGACGGAGCTGAAACTAATATTTTCCTAAAGTTGAAGGAGTTCCTCATGCCAAGTACTCGACGATTTTCTTTTTTACTTCAAATATTCCCAGAAAAGTTAACGGCGGAAGAATTCATCGTTTACAAGAGAACAAGTTTAATTTGTTCCAGAAATTCCGTGTTTCGTTACTAACACTTCGTCCCGATATAGTTATTAAATATTTGAGATTGTTTCCGCGAAAATTAATATCGTCAAGTTATACGTTCATCAAACCTATTAAACATGGTATTTCTGATAGTTTAGTTTCCTCTTACGATTTTCTCCAAACTAATCTCGAACAACTTTAGTAAGCTTCGTGCCCCTTTCTGTTCTCTTCGTAATGAAAATTTTAAGTACCCAACTTAAGGAACTAATAACGAACGAAACGATCAATCCCGAATTTTTCTCTATTTTATTTCAGGTAATTTAAAGAAACCTCTCGTCATAATTGGTGTCTACGTGTTCTCCTACGTGAGTGGACACAGTGCACTGAGCTCTTACGCCGAAATAATCCTGATAAAAAGCAGAATTGCCGTAAAACCAAGCTTAGTAGTGACGATCCTTGGATTCTCTACAATCGTAGCTGGCTTGGCATCTATGTTTCTAGTTGACAAATTTGGTAGAAAATGTTTCTTGATAATGTCTGGTATAGGAACATCGATGTCCTTGGCACTTTTAGGATTGCATTTTCATCTCCTTTCGTTAGAATACGATCCTAACAGCTTGACGTGGTTACCAATAGTCGCGTTATTAACTTTTAATCTCTCCATGTCTTGTGGATTGCAACCGATTCCAAGCACACTTTTAGGTGAAATGTTCACTGCAAATATGAAAAACATGGCCTCCTTATTCGTGAGCTCCAGTAACGCTTTGCTTTCTTTCGCGAGTGCAAAATCTTATCAGCCTTTTCTAGATTTAGTCGGTGACAAATTTGTGTATTGGACTTATAGTATTTGTGTGTTATTTTCGGCGCCGTATGTCTATTTTTTAATCCCGGAAACGTCGGGAAAGAGTCTCATAGAAATCCAACGATCGATAAAAAAGTGATAGCGCATTAAACTCTTCTTTCAATTTCACAACAGCTTTACCTTGCCTAAAAAAGATAGATCATTGTAAGATGAACAAAAATCATAAGACTATAACTACTTGTACTATTTATAAAATGCAAGTTAATTATAAGCTATTGTATAGTTATTTTAAGACACATTCATCCTTTGTAATTTTTCATTCTATTGTTTCATCATATATTTCGACAATATATATATATATATATAAACAATACCTATAAATGAACTAAATTTGTTCAAATATGTTATGTATTATTGAGTATTAACTATTGTACCTTTCATACTTCCATAATACAAAACTTTATTGTTTACGATAACGATACCAAGAGGACGCGCAAATGCAGACTAACTTCTTCATACAGACTCTCCTAACAATCTACTTCTATACGACGTATGCTACTCATGGTTAGAGTTTCAACGTTAGAAGAATATTGTAGCAGTTTATATCTCGTTCCTACTACTTACAGCATCAATTATTAATCAGATGATAAATCGAAAACAAACGAAATAAAAAAGAATACGTACAAAATGATGACATCAATATTGAAAATACTTCGATTGAAGAGGCGAAACGAATAAAACCGTATATTTAAGTATCTACTCTATAATATCGTTATAAAGAATTCCCTGCCGCAAAACTTTGTTAAGACATATACGAGGAAGAGTTTTACTCGCGGACACGCACCCAATTTCACATGAGGGGAGAAGATGAAAGAGCTATCTACTACATTCGATTACTACATACTACCGAATAAGATCTTCTGCAGCATAGTTGGAATATGGCCTATCGGAGAAAGAAGTTCGACATGTAGTAAAATATTTGCGTATTTCCGCTTAATAGTATCATTAATTGCAATCAGTAATTTCTTCGTGCCGGAGATTATGGCCGTAGCGTTCTATTGGGGCGATGTGGAAACCGTAATAGGTAAGTTTTAATAGAATTGACTCAAATTTGTCATTTTATTTTCTGGCAGCGTAACCAATCAATATATCTTCTTGAATTAGGGATAGGAAGCAATTTAATGTCAGCCACGCAGTTATTCTTTAAAATGATCTATTTAGTAGCGAGAAGAGAAAGAGTATACAGACTTTACAACGAGATACGAATTCTATGGGATTCTACCGATGATCCTAACGAAAGGAAATCTTACGAGCAAATCGCTTATCAGGCACGGATTGTTACGATCACTTTTTCTTCATGCTTCCTATGCAATCTAACCACCTTCTCGATTGCTACGATTGCCGATTATTTTAGATTTGCATACAACGGCAACAACACTAACGACAATCGACATTTACCTTTTCTTGTCTGGTAAAGATCATCCTTCTCCACTTAAACTTCTCTCGTTGTTAACCACAAAAAAGACGGAAAAAGATATTACAATATTTAAATAAAATATTATTGTTAATCTAGATATAAAGAAGGACTTAATTACAATTGTTTTTCTTAACTTATTATACCTAATGTCACTATTAGGTACGGCACAGACATCTCGGCATCTCCCAAATTTGAAATCGCTTTTGTTGGTCAAGTCATGACAGCTATGATTGGACTTTCAGCAATCACTGCCATAGACTGCACGTTTATGACTATGATCCTACACGTGTCTGGACAATTTATACTTATCAAGACGTGGATTAATAAAATTGGATTTGAAATGAGTCATAAATCTATTGACATGGACAAGTTTGAGGAGGACCTATTTAAATGCATTCGTCATCACCAACGAATGATACAGTAAACATTTTTCTACTTCCAATCTCTTTCTTCTCGCAATTGCATTAATCAACTTTTCTCCTCGCCGATTAATATATTTCTTTAAATTCTTTTCATTTGTGCTTCTGACGATGCTACTACTTTTATACAGCGTGGTAAATGATGTGAATAATTTGTTAACACCCATCATTTTCATGCAACTTCTTACGAGCGGACTAGAAATTTGTTTAAGTGGATACGCAATGCTCGATAACGGGACAAAAATTACCGACATACTGAAATTTACATCTTATTTTATTTCCGTAACGGTACAACTACTTTTATGGTGCTGGCCCGGTGAAATTCTTGTCCAAGAAAGTCAAGAGGTTGGACAGGTGGTTTATTTCAGCGTACCATGGTACAATTTACCTCCAATTTATCGAAACCACGTTTGCCTTATGATAATTAGGGCACAACAATATTGCAGCATCACAGCATTAACTTTCAAAGTGTTATCTATTCAAACATTAACGGCTGTAAGTAATCATTTACTTATTCTAAAAATGAGATATGCAATAGGCCAGAAATAGCCAAAATATAAAAATCTATGTTAATATCAAGAAAAATCAATTTCTGCAAAACCAAAATAAAAATATGAAGATTAAAATATAAATTTGATTTCAGGTATTCAACACAGCTATCTCGTATTTTACTGTGTTACAACAAATGCAACAAAACTAAATTCCAACGAAAACAGTCAAATGTGCATCTATAGCGTAGTACCCTCGTACGACAGTGCAAAAAGTAGTCTGTAAAAGAAAATGTAAATTTCTAAGTCATATTGTATCTGATATTCTAGAATCGAATGTAGATATTGCTCATAGATTGTTATCCTTTGGAATTTTACAGATGCATTTCCATCTTCTTTCATTGAAATAATTATAAACTTTTAATTCATTCATATTCTTCTCCTGAACGTTGGCGATCCCAAGCACATTTTTGGATAAAATTTTCACTAATTTCAAAAATCTCATTCACATAATCCTTCTGCTCGAGAATTCTAACAACACTTGCATTATTTTTATTACTTTATATCTCATTTTATTAGCGAAATTGAATTAAAAATAGACTAAAATAATTTAAATATGTTATTATTGCTAAGAACTGTTCCTTATTGTTTCTTTGAAGATAATATCAAAAAGAACTAGAAACAAAGACAAATTCTTCTATACTGTTTCTTTCAACAGTCTTCTATACTGTACTTCGACTTGGTATATACTAAACATAATTGAAGAGTCAACTATGTTACATAAGAAACCATTATATCCATTTAGGTAATGCCCCCTCTACTTACAATATAGACTATTCATCAAACTACAAATTAGAAATAAGGGGGGGGGCAAAATAAAGGGGGACATATTGCAGAATAACATTAATATTGAATATCGAGCGAAGGGAAAACGGAAATAAAACCTTATATTTTAACGTCTGGTCTATAATATTGTCATAAAGAATTCTCTACCGGAAAACTTTGTCAGGACATATGAGACACGGTTTCATTCGTAGACACGCATCCAATTTCGCATCAAGGGAAAACATGAAAGAACTATCTAACACATCGATCGATTATTACATACTACCGAATAGGATCTTCTGTAGTATGGTTGGAATGTGGCCTATCGAAGAGAAAAGTTCGACGTGTAGCAAAATATTCGCATATATCCGCTTGATATTGGCACTAATAGCAATCAATAGCATTTTTGTGCCCGAAATTATGATGATAGTATCGAGTTGGGGTGACATAACGATCCTAGCAGGTAAGCCTCAGTAAAATTGACTTATATCTCACATTTCTTCGAACAAACTTCTATCTTGTGGCAGCGTATTAAATTAAATTCCTTCTCGAATTAGGAGTAGGATGTGTTTTAACTACGGTCGGACAACTGTTGTTCAAAATGATTTACCTAATAGTGAGAAGAGATAGATCATATAGACTTTACTATGAAATACGAAGTTTATGGAACATTGCTAACGATTCGAAGGAAATGCAGTCTTACGTAGAACTTGTTTATTGGGCACGAATTTGTACGATAGTCTTTTATTCGTCTTGCATGTGCAATGTGATCACTTTCTCCATTGCTGGAGTTGTTGATTATTTTAGATTCGAATACAACGCAAGCAGTACAGATAACAGCCGACATTTACCCTT